AAGACAGCAGGCGGCCAGCCCAGGGCAGACAGCATGGCGATTTTGTTCATAAACTGTCCTGGGCAGTACAAGCTTCACCATGGCCTGAGTGTTCTGCACGACCGTGAGGGCGGATTCTTGACGACCCAGCATGATCCGTCTTTCCCTGTCTTCGACTACACGAATGGCCCTGGGAAGATGCTTCAGACTTACGTGCCCAAGGCTGAGCCCGTTGAAAACAAGATGCGCGCCTTCCTGACGCCATCTGGCGAATCCTTGACCGCAGTTGCGGAGTTCGAGCAAAGGATGGCGCGCAGGGAACGCGACGATTGGGTGCGCCATCCCTTCAGAGTGAAGCAGGGCAACCTCGACGACAAGATATGGCATGGCGCCTTCGGCAGGGCGAGGCACGGAGCGCACTTCCCTCTGGTGGCTTTCACGCACAATACGTGCCGCAGGTCACCTGAAAGACTCGCCGCGAGGTTGGAACGCAGGAAGGGCGGCAGGAAGGGCGGCAAGAAGGGCGGCAAGAAGGGCAGCTACGCGGACACCGCAGTTGCGGGGAAGGGCGTCCGACCCCAGATGGGAACCGCAGTTGCGGGGAGAGACGCTGGGGCTGAGCGAGCTGGGAACACGCCACCGCCGCAAGCTGCCAACGGCGACGATGCGACCCCTTCTTGGGCCGCAGTGGCGGCTGGGTCCTGGGACGCCAGCGGCAGCGGCGCATGGGAGGCGCGCAGTCCCGCCACGAGATGGCAGGGCTGGTCCTGGTGGGACTGGAGCTCGAGCGAATGGGGCGCTGATGGCGCGCAGTGGTGGCCCTCTGATCATGCCGCAGTTGCGGACAATGCCCCTGAGGGCTCGCCTCCTCAGCGTGAAGTCGAGTGGGGCTCGAGCGGGCGACCTGCCGAGCGCCCTCCGTGGAGCTTCGAGGGGCAGCGTTGGTGATGGCCGCAGTTGCGGGCAAGTGGAGCATGATGTTGATTGCCGCAGTTGCGGACAGTGTACGCTGGAAAAATCATCATCATCATCAATCATAATCATCATCATATCATCATATCATACGTTCAAAGCAGTGCCGGGGCACTGCTTTGAACGCGTTCAAAGCAGTGCCGGGGCACTGCTTTCGATCGTCGCCTCGTCGCAGTTATAAGGGCTATTGGATTAGGTGCGTTCGCGCCATATTTGCACAAGGGTGGAGGAGGGAGAGACCGAGCCAGTCGAGGCTTTACTTGGCCGCTCGGTGGTGCGGACTCGAACTTTTTTCTACGTTGTGGCAGGCTTCTCCTCCTGCTTTTCTGCTCGTCCCCCTCTCTCTCTCCCGCCCTCTGAGCGTATCGCTTTGCCATATGATTTAGAGACCCCGCGGCGTCAGACATCCGGATCAGCCCCTGGTGTTTGCTTGGCCTGCGTGCTTACCACAGACCGGAGATCCACGTAGCTCGAAAAAAGAGAGACACATGCAGTGAGCCGTTGTTGGAAGCCATCTTGCAGCATCACAGGCCCATTTGGAGCCATGCTGCATGCTGGGCGAAACAGGGCCCCCTACAACACACCGCGGCCCGCGCAATCAAAAGCCTCAGGGAGGGGATCTACGCGTCGGGCAGCTTGTCTCCCGCCCCTGGCGGATGCCTCCGATGCTCGCCCTCTCATGCTCGGCCCACTCGTACAGTCGGGGCGCTGAAGAAGGAACCTTTTTCGCTGGAGAGGGGCTCGGTGTTCCTTGCTCGTGTCACAGCTTGCCTAAGGTGTTCCTTAGGTTTTCGATGGGAAGCCGAAGTTTAACTTATGGATAAAATTGACCTCGTTCCCTATTTCGGATTTCTTAGGTCAACGCCCCGACTGCACCTTCAGACTCGCTGTGCCCAGGAGCTCGCAGCGGAAAGTGCCCGCCGCCCGCGCCGGCCTTCCCTCGCGGGGGTGGGCAGACCTCCCACCCTGACACGGTGATTAGTGAATTGTCCGTCTTCGGCTCTCGGGAGGGCGCCGCGGCCGTTATTTTCCAGGCTTGCGCCCGCCAGGTTTGGGCCCGAGGTCGTTGTCACCAAACCACGTTTCACTCAAGGGGGTTCTGTCCATCCCCGACCCTCGATGCTCTCGCCCGCCGCCCGCGCGGGCGGCCCGCGCGGCGCGCGCGGCGCGCGCCGCGGCGCCCGGGGCTTCGCGGAGTACTCGCTGGTGGGCGACGTCGCGGTGCTGCGGCCCGGGGCGGAGCTCTCGCGCGCGGGGGCGGTGCTGCTCGGGGGCGGAAAGGAGGGGGGGTGGATGACTAACGGGGGGGGGAGGGGAGATCATGGCGGGGGCCATGCTATCTCCCCAGATTTCATGGCGCCTCTTCTTGTTTCGTGGCGTCCCTGGCCCCCCCGCTGGGCCGCGCACGTGCCGCCGGTCATGATCTGATCTGCACCCCCCCCCCCCTCTTGGACCCCCTCCCTCTTTCTTGGCCGCTCCCGAGGTGTTGCGGCAGCCGGGGGTGCGCGCGGTGGCCGCCCGGGAGGCGGGATGCGGCGGCAGGTCGTCTGGGGAGCCCCGGGGCGGGGGTGAGTCAGTGCCAACGGGGGTCAGCGGAGCGCCCGAGCTCGCAGGATCCAGCGGTGCCAGGGGTGCATTGACCCGGGCTCGCGCGCAGGATCCTGCAGGATCTTGCATGGTCCTGCGGAGCCCGACTGACCAGGGTTTGCACTGACTCGGGTCGGTGCATCCCCGAGCGGGGTTGTTTCCAGGTTTCCCAGAAGGGGTGAGCAGATGGGATTCGGAGTCGGCTGGGTGCCCGGGTTGGCCCAGCGTGGGTTTCAGGGCGAGTAGGAAGGGCGGGCAGGTGCGAGGTGCTGGGCTCGGGAAGGTGTTTTGTTGGCTTTCCCAGCCTCTGGGTGCCGTTCTCGGGCCCTGGGATCGTGAAACACTGATCTGGGGTGAAGAAATTGCACCACATATGGGTCCCTGCAGGGGTCTGCACGGGGACCGATTTTGAAAGGATTTGCCTTCATCCCCCCCCCCCCCCCTCCTGGTCGATTTTCTGGGGTCCCAATCAATTCAGACCCCCTGGCCGTCTCCAAGGCCGGATTAGATGGTATTAGAGGATCGCGCCGCAACGCCGAGGCATCGGCAGGCGACTCGATGTGCTGCCAGAGTTTCGTCGCCGATGGCTCCGATGCATCGCCGATGCATTGGCGATGCGACGCGATCCTACGACCCCGTCTACTCGGCCCCTATCTAGTAGGCGTGTCGAAACACATGATACGCAGAAACATGCTTCCTCGGAGCTCTGCGAGGATTTCTTGGATCAGCGCTAGGGCCCCTGGCGGTGCCGCCAGCGCCGCCCCTGACGCGTTCCGCGCGCCAGGGAGGCGGGCCCAGCGCCGCTCCAAGAAATCCGCGCAGACTTCCGAACGTTTGTGCTGATGCTGGTTGTGGCTCCTCTAGGTCGGGCGATGCTTCACAGGGGGGGCGAGGACAGGATTCTGAGGAGGAGGTGGAGGAGGCGGAGTATGGAGGGGAAGGACGAGGGAGGGAAAGGAGAAGGAGGGACGCGTTTCCATTTCCCGCGGAGAGCTCGGGAAGGGAGAAGGGGGTCCGCAACATTAGAGACCTTGCGCGGTTATGCTGGCTGTTGTTCCTCTAGGTCGGGCGTCGCTTCACAGGGCGGGCCGGGGGCCAGCGGTGTGCGCCTGACGTGCCCTGCTTTTGGGACCCTTGGGGGCCTTTCTCGGGGCCCCCAAGGGTCGAATAGGGGATCGACTACAGAATCGGTCTACCCCAGCATTGATTTCCTCGTCGAGCCCATGAGTAGAATGCGTCAAATCGTCAGTAGATGTACGCAGCATTCGGCGTATACGTTCCGTAGATTCGACGGGACATCAACATTGGGGTACACCGATTATGTAGTCGATCCCCTACTCGAAGTGGTGCACAACAGCGGCGCGCCCGTCTATTTGCGCCTCCGCGCTTCGCCCCGCCCCCCCCCCGCTGATGGGCCTGCTTTCCACCACTACCACCGCCACTAGAAGTTAGGTGGAGGAAGAAGAGGAAGAAGAGGAGGAAGAAGAGGAGGAGGAGGGCCCCCTCTCCCTCCGACGTATGGTGGTGGCGGTGGAAAACAAGCTCGCCCCCCCGCACGACGCTGCGGCCCGAGCAGGTTCCGCACGCCGCGGCTCGCGGTGGTCGCAGGGGAGGGCGCCCTGTCTCGGAGGAGGGCCCCGTGGAGGCAGCGGCGGTCCTCCCGCGCAGGCGAGTTTTCTCCCCCCGACCCCCGAGTTCCGCCCGACACGCGACAGGGGAGGAGGAGGAGGAGGAGGAGGAGGAGGAGGAGGAGGAGGAGGAGGAGGAGGAGGAGGAGGAGGAGGAGGAGGAGGGAGGAGGGAGGAGGGACGGAGGAGGAGGGGAGGAGGAGGAGGAGGAGGAGGAGGAGGGAGAGGAGGGAGGAGGGAGGAGGGAGGGGAGGAGGAGGAGGAGGAGGAGGAGGAGGAGGAGGAGGAGGAGGAGGAGGATGAGCAGGAGGAGGAGGAGGAGGATAGGCCCCCAGGGGGCGGACGCACCCCTGGCGAGGATGGACGCCCGCCCCCCCCATCGTGTGCCCCAGGCTTGGGCCCCAAATTGGTTGGTCCAGTCGAAGACCTCGAAAAGCCTGGGATGGGGGTCGTCATGTGCCCTGGGGGCTCCCCTGCAGACCCCCCTCGCGGCGCAAAGAGAGACCACGGCGGAGGGCCTCTGCGGCTGCGCTCGGCGTCAGGAAGGGGAGGGGAGGGGCCCTTGCCCGGCCCCGGGGCCGCCAGGAGACGCCTCGGGAGGGGCATCCGGCCCCGAAGGAGGGGTCGAGCCCTCTGGGGGTTCGGCGCGGTAACTCCCCACCCACCGAACCACCTCAGCCCAACCCGAAGGCTCAGATTTACCCTCGATTTCCAGAGGGGGGGGGTGGTCGGGAAACACCGGAAAAAACACATGTGGAACCCTTCCCCCCCAACCCGAAATTCGGGTCTTCGGGTTGGGTTGGGGCGGTCTGGTAGGTAGTCAGTAGCAACCTGATGACGGCAGGGGTCAGGCGGGCGCGGCAGTGCAGCCAGGCGCGCTGGGTTGCCTTCTTTGCTCATGTGCGTGCGCTCGCGGCTGGTTATCATATATATACATATATATATATATATATATAAGAAATCTAACACTAGTACTAAGAATCCTAATAATACTAGCAAGAGTAAGACTATTACTATTAATAATAATTATACTATTAATAATCATACGAGTAAGAATACTACTACTTCTACAACTACTGCTACTACTACTACTACTACTACTACAACTACTACTACTACTACTACTACGACTACTACTACGACTACGACTACTACTACTACTACTACTACTACTACTACTACTACTACTACTACTACTACTACTACTACTGAGATTACTACTACTACTACTACTACTTCTACTACTACTACTACTAATAATAATAATAATACTAATAATAATAATAAATATTAATAATATACCGGCGTCCGGGGCCACGCGGCCCAGGGTCGCATACTTTTCCCAACCTCCCCCCCCCCATGACCGAAGTTGCCCCCTGGTCTGCGGGGGCCTTTTTTGGCATCCAGGGGCCCGTTTTCGGAGTCCCGGAATTTGTTCCGCTTCCGCGAGGCGTCCACTTAGGCTTCTGGAGACGGCAAGAAGCCGCCAAGACGGCCCAAGAGCGCTCCAAGCCGCCCAAGATGGCCCCATGATCGGCCCAAGAGGCCTCCAAGATGCCCCAAGGTCGCTCCGCGAGGACCTCCAAGAGAGCCCCAAGACGCCCAAATCCTTGATTCTCATTGTGTGCTTCCAATATTTGTTGCTTCTCACGTTTTCGAGCGGCCGACACTCCAAGACTGCCCAAGAAGCTTCCGACGTTGCCCCAAGAGGCCCCCAAGAGGCCCCCAAGACAGCCCAAGAGGGCCACATGATCGGCCCAAGAGGCTCCCAAGACGGCCCAAGAGGGCCTGAAGAGGGCCTGAAGACGGCTCCAAGATGGGCCCAAGAGAGGGAACGCGAACCGACCTTTCGAGCTTCCCGCCCCCAGAGACCCCCAGGAGGCCCCAAGAGGCCCCCAAGTGGCTCCAAAAGGCTCCAAAGAGGCCCCAAAGATGCTCAAGAGAGGTCCGACAAGCTCCACAACGCCCCCGTGGAGGCTTCAAACCTGCTTCCAAAAGGCCCCCCGAGAGGCATCCCACGATACCATTCCAGCGAACATCCGAGAAGCCTCTAACCCACAACCCAGACACAGTTGCGGGATGGGCCCAGAACTGCGACCTTTGGTTCGCATGGGGGGCTGGGGGGGCCTTGAGGGTTCCAAGAGGGTTCAGAAGGGGCCCCGGACCCTTCCAGAGGCTCCTAAGCTGGCCCAAGATATTCCCAGGAGGCTCCAGAGAGCCCCCCAAATGCCCGAACAGAGGCGCCCTCTGCCCTAAGAGGACCCCAGGAGGCCCCAAGAGACTCCCAGGAGGCCTCCACGACGCCCCAAAAAGCCACCAAAAAGGCTCCAGAAAAACCTGAGAAGCTCCCGACAAAAACCCCACCGAGCTTGCAGGAGGCCTCTACACAGACCCTCAGAAGCCCGCCAGAAGCCCTTCGTCCTCCATGCTCCGGAGCAGCCCTTCGGAACACGTGGCCCTGGCTGCACCCCCCGACCCGCCCACCCAATGTCGAGGCCCGAGGACGCCCCCATGACGCCCGCAAGACGCTCCGGAAACGCTTCTCCCGCACACGTGGATCAGGTGACAATGATGTTGATCGTCGGTGGTCCGTCGTCGTCGTCGTCGTCGGTCGTCGCTGGTACACTACAGGCCAAACCCTTCCTTGAACTTCGCAGCATCCGCCAGAAAATCACGCACGGGTGAAAGGGAGGAACCCGGAAGACCACATGGAAAAGGTCCCATGGAAATTGACACCGTATTCGGAGTCGACTAGAACCTAAGCGCGCGCGAAGCGCGAGCGTGGTTCTAGTTAGTAGCATGATTAGTAGCATTCTCATGTGTATCATTTAAATTACTGATTTTATCATTGTTATTATGAGTAGTCGTATTCGTGATGTTGCCATTGCTGTTTATGTTGTTGTTGCTGTTGCTGTTGCTGACTTTTTGTTGTTGTTATTGTTGATGTTGTTGGTGGTGCTGTTGTTAGTGTTGTTGCTGTCGTTGTTGTTGCAATTGCTGTTGCTGCCAGTAGTTTATTCGAGGAGCAACAGTAGTAGTCGTCGTCATAGTAGTAGTAGTAGTAGTAGTAGTAGTAGTAGTAGTAGTAGTAGTCGTAGTCGTAGTAAAGACGTAGTAGTAGTGGTAGTGGTAGTGGTAGTGGTAGTGGTAGTGGTAGTGGTAGTAGTAGTAGTAGTAGTAGTAGTAGTAGTTAGTAGTAGAAGTAGAAGTAGTAGTAGTAGTAGTAGTAGTAGTAGTAGTCGCCGTCGGCGTCGTAGTAGTAGCAGTAGTCGTAGTAGTAGTAGTAGTAGTAGTAGTCGTAGTAGCAGGAGAAGTAGTAGTAGTAGTAGTAGTA